TATATGCCTTCAAGAAAGACCAGTGACTATGACTATTACTTAAATTTAGCACCAGCCACTAATGCCAAAGATGAAGAAATTAAAGTACATTACCAACTTCTGCCGTCAGAACTTGATCACACGTGCAGTCAAGATGAACTGATAATTACTGGTGTAATCCAAATTTGGAAACAAAGAAGAGGAATTAGTAGTTGGAAAATATGGCCTTGGTGATAGAAATGACACTGAAGAACACATGATAGAATTTTGTAAGACCAATGACCTGCTCATTGCAAATGTCTATTCTTAGCAATGTAAATGGTGTCTACACATGTAGACTTCACTAGACGGAATACACAGGAATCAAGTCCACTACATATGTAGAAACAGACAATGGAAAAGCTCAATATCATCAGTCAGAACAAGGCCAGGGGCAGATTGTGGAACAGACCATCGTTTGCTCAAATGGAAGTTCAAATTGAAGCTGAACAAAATTAAAACAAGTTCATGAGAGCCAAAGTATGACCTTGACTATATTCCACCTGAATTTAGAGATTATTTGAAGAATAAGATTTGATGCATTGAACATTAATGACTGATAACCAGACAAGTTGTGGGATGACATCAAGGACATGATACATGAAGAAAGTAAAAGGTCGTTAAAAGCATAGAAAGAAAGAAAAGACCAAACTGCATGTCAGGAAAAACTCTGAAACTTGCCCTTGAGCATAGAGTAGCTAAAGCAAATAGAAGAAATAATGAAACAAAAGAGCTGAACGGAAGACTTCAAAGGGCAATTTGAGAAGACAGAATAAAATATTATAATAAAATATGCAAAGACCTGAAGTTAGAAAAGGGAAGAAGAGTCTTAGTACTTATCAAGCTGAAAGAACTGAAGAAAAAATTCAAGCCTCAAGTTGCAATACTGATTTTATGGGAAAAATGTAAAAGGATGCTGAAACATCAAAAGATAGAAGACATACACAGTGTTACTACCAAAAAGAATTAATTGGTGGTGGTGTTAGGTGCTGTCGAGTCATCTCTGACTCATAGCGACCCTATGCACAGCAGAACGAAACACCTCCTGGTCCTGCACCAGCTCCGCAATCCCTGCTACACTTGAGCGTATCACCACTGCCACTGTGTCAATACATCTCATTGAGGGCCTTCCCCTCTTTCGTTGACCCTCCACCTTACCAAGCATGACATCCTTCTCCAGGGAATGGTCCCTTCTGACAACATGACCAAAATATATGAGACAAAGTCTGGCCATTGTCACTTCCAAGGAGCATTCTGGCTGCACTTCCTCCAGGACAGATTTGTTAGTTCTTTTAGCAGTCCATGGTACTTTCAGCATTCTTTGCCAACACCACAACTCAAAAAGCATCAATTCTTCTTCGGTTTTCTTTCTTCATTGTCCAGCTCTCATATGCATATGAGGTGATTAAAAATGCCATGGCTTGTGTCAGGTGCCCCTTAGTCCTCAAGGAGACATCTTTGCTCCTCAGCACTTGAAAGAGATAAGAGGTCTTTTGCAGCCAATTTTTCCAGTGCTAAATGTTCTGATGTCCTGACTGCTGCTTCCATTGGTGTTGATTATAGAACCAAGTAATATGAAGTCTTTGACAACTTCAATCTTTTCTCCATTTACCCTGATGCTGTTTATAGGTCCAGTTGTGAGGATTTTTGTTTTCTTTATATTGAGGTATAATCCATACTTAAGACTGTATTCTTCAACCTTCATCAGTAAATGCTTCAAGTCGTCCTTACTTTCAGCAAGCAAACTTGTGTCATCAGCGTATCTCAGGTTGTTAATGATTCTTCCTCCAATCCTGATGCCACGTTCCTCTTCATATAGTTCAGCTTCTCTGATTATTTGCTCAGCATACAGATTGAATAAATATGGTGAAAGGACACAACCCTGACACACTCCCTTCTTGATTTTAAATCATGCAGTGTCTCCTTGTTCTGTTTGAATGACAGCCTCCTGATCTATGTACAGGTTCTTCATGAGTACAGTCAAGTGTTCTGGAATTTCCATTCTTCTCAATGTTATCCACAATTTGTTATGATCCACACAACCAAATGCTTTGTCATAGTCAATAAAACACAAGTAAACATCTTTCTGGAATTCTTTGCTTTGAGCAAGATCCATCTGACATCAGTGATGATATCCCTTGTTCCACATCTTCTTTTGAATCCAGCTTGCACTTCTGGAAGTTCTCTGTCAATATATTGCTGCAACCGTTTTTGAATTATGTTCAGTAAGATTTTACTTGCATGCGATATTAATCTTATTGTTTGATAATTTCCACATTTTGTGGGATCATCTTTTTTTGGGATGGGTACAAATATGGATCTCTTCCAGTCAGTTGGCCAGGTAGCTGTCTTCTTTGGATAGCCAAGTGAGTGCCTGCAGCAGAGCATCGTTTGTTGAAACATCTCAGTGAGTATTCTGTCAATTCCTGGATCCCTGTTCTTCGCCAGTTCTTTCATTGCAGCTTTGACTTCTTCCTTCAGTACCATTGGTTGTTAAACATATGACACCTCTTGAAATGGATAAAGATCTACCAATTCTTTTTGGTACAGTGAGTCTGTGTAATCCTTCCATCGTCTTTTGATGCCTTCTACATCCTTCAATATATTGCCCATAGAATCTTCCAGTATTGCAACTCGAGGCTTAAATTTTTTCTTCAGTTCTTTCAGCTTGAGAAATACTGATCATGTTCTTCCCATTTGGTTTTTTAACTCCAGTTCCTTGCACATTTCATTATAGTAATTGGCTTTGTTTGCTCAAGTTGCTCTTTGAAATATTCTGTTCCACTCTTCTGTCTTGTTATTTCTTCCATTTGCTTTAGCTATTTTCTGCTCAAGGGCAAGTTTCAGAGTCTTTTCTGACATCCATTTTGGTCTTTTCTTCTTTTCTTGTCTTTTTAATGACCTCTTGCTTTCTTCATGGATGATGTTCTTGATGTCATTGCATAATTTCCTCTGATTTTTGGTCATTGGTGTTCAATCCATCAAATCTATTCTTTGGATGGTCTCTAAATTCAGGAAGGATATATTGAAGGTCATATTTTGGCTCTCATGGACTTGTTTTAATTGTCTTCAACTTCAGGTTAAACTTGCATGTGAGCAGTTGATGGTCTGTTCCACAATCAGTTCCTGGCCTTGTTTTGGCTGGAGATAATTGAGTATTTCATTGCCTCTTGCCACAATGTAGTCATTGTGATTCCTGTGTACTCCACAGGAATGTATTCCTGTGTACTGGTGAAGTACATGTGTATAGCCACCGTTTGTGTTGTTGAAAAAAGGTGTTTGCAATGAATAAGTTGTTGGTCTTGCAAAATTCTGTCATGCGATCTCCAGCGTTATTTCTGTCACCAAGGCCAAATTTTCCAACTATTGGTGATTATTCTTTTTTTTCAACTTTTACATTTCACTGAAATGCATGCATGTTAGGCAGTTGAAAATATCCATGGCTTGGGTCAGGCACACCTTAGTCTTCAAAATGACATCTTTGCTTTTTAATACTTTAAAGATGTCTTTTGCAACATATGTGTTTATTGAAATACAGTGTTTGATTTCTTGACTGCTGCTTCTGTGGGCATTGATCGTGGATCCAAGTAAAATGAAATCTTGAAAACTTCAACATTTTCTCCATGGTTCACAATATTGTTATTTGTTCAGTTCTAAGGATTTTTGTTTCCTTTATGTTGGTTGAGGTGTAATCTGTACTGAAGGCTATATGTAGTCTGTAATTTTCACCAGTAAGTGTTTCTTCATTTCAAGTAATCATCACTTTCAGCAAGCAAGGTTATGTCATCTGCATATCTGTTTGTTAATAAATATTTCCCCAGTTCTGATGCTGCATTCTTCTTCATATAGTTCAGCTTTTTGGATCATTTGGTCAATACCCCCTGCTGTTGAGTCATATCCGACTCATGGCGACCCCCCTTGGGTTTCCGAGGTGGTATCACTGTGGAAGTAGATTGCCCAACCTTCCTTCAGAGGAGTGGCTGGTGGGTTTGAACTGCCAGCCTCTGGTTAGAAGTCAAATGCCTTAGGCACTACGCTACCAGAGCTCTTATTATACAGATTGAATAAGTATGGTGAATGGATACAACCCTGATGCAATATCTCCTTGTTCTATTCGAATGATTACCTCTCGGTCTTTGTATAGCTTGTCATTTAAATGCTTTGGAATTCCCACTGTTTGTTACGTAACTCAGAAGTTGTTGTGATCCACATACCTTTGCGTAGTTGATAAAACATAGTTAAGTATCTGTACTCTTATTTTCAGCCAAGATCCATCTGATATCAGCAACAATATCTGTAGTTCCACATCCTCTTCTAAATTTGGCTTGACTTTGTGGCAGTTCCTTGTCAATGTGCAGCTGCAACTGTTTTTGAATTATCTTTCAGCAACATTTTATTTGAATGTGATATTAATGATATTGTTTGATAATTTCTGCTTCCTGTTTGATCACCTTTCTTTGGAATGGGCACAAATATGGGTCTCTTCTAGGAAGTTGGCCACCTTGGTGTCACCTCTCTTTCATCTTTCCTTTTTTGCCATTGAAGAGATCTACTTTGATTTCTTTTGTTTCTCTCCTATGTTGAGTTCTCTTCAGCTAAATAGCATTGAACTCTCAATGATCTGCATCTCCCTCCCCCCACTGCTCTTGCACTCACACTGTCACTTGCTCTCTCTATATACACATAAAACACATACATAACCCATTGTTGTCAAGTTGATTCTGACTCATATCGACCTTGTAGGACAGAGTAGAAGTGGCATGTAGGGTTCCAGGGCTGAACATCTTTACAGAAGCTGAGTACAACATATTTCTTCTACAGAATGGCTGTTGAGTTTGAATTGCTGACCTTTCAGTTAGGAGCCAAATGCTTAACCGTTGTGCCATGAGGGCTCCTTATATAAATCTTTCTATCTGTATCTGGTTGTTTGTATGTATACACTGGGTACATTTTATATTTGCATTGTCTTTCAATCTTTATAGGAATGCTTTGTGTGGAAAGCTTCAGTGTGAGAATGTACAAGGCATGTCTATATTTGGAGTTGTACCTGCTATTATTCAAACCCACCATAGAGGTACTACATGTTGGGGTGTGGACTTCCAGCTAGGATCCGATGTTCCAGATCCTGGGATGGTGAATGAAGGCACAAAATGTAATGTTGGGAAGGTAATAAAAATGTTTTCTATTTTTGAAGTAAACTTTAAATATTTGTTTTAATCATTATATAAACTTAGTGACTGCTCTTTTTTGATTATAAAAGAAATTCATATTTATTATAGAGATTTTGGAAAATACAAAGCTACCAAGAAGAAAATTAAGAACAACTATAGTCCTACCATCTGGATTTCTTCACTGAGAATCATAACTATGTATGAGAATTATACCTGTGTTTTACACTTTGTAATATACTGTGTATATTTTCCTCCTTGTCAATGTGTTACATTAACCACCTTCCTGTTATTGGGACACTTAGATGATTTCCAGGACTTTTTGTATGTACGCATATGTATACGTGTGTGTGTGTGTATGTGAGTAGAAATTTCACAGTGCTTGTCCTGCCCGTGCCCCTCGCCACCTTGACCACAGTTGTTTGTATCACATATGAGCCCAGAGTTAGACAATCCATGATCTATTTCCAGTAGTTTTATATGAGATGAGTTGGACCTGATTCCTTTTTCAAAAATATATAATTAGGGAAGATAATTAAGAGGGAATATTTAGAACAAAGCAATAATCAAAATTCTATATGTCATAATTTACAGGATACAATTAATGTGATACTTAAATGGAGATTTAAAGCTTTAACTTGAATTTAATCTAAGTTTAAAAATAAAGTTTTGGTAAAACCATGGAGAGTAGAAGAGTAAAAAAGATATTATGACGGAGAAGGATTGTTGAGTAAGTAGAAGAAACCAACTCAGAGAATAGAGGAAGCAAGAGAGAACATGATTAATTTTATGGTGCCTGAAAAGCACAAGATACTTGGACTCTCAAATTATCTCAGTTTCCAGCATGTTTTCAGTTCTAATTCTGTTTCTCATTTCTCCTTACAAAAAGATATCTCTTTGTGCCTATTCTTACAATCAAGTATATTTGACCACTGCAGCTATTATAAACAATGCTGGGAAAAACAGCTTTATAAATACAAATTTCAGAACATTCTCTGATTTTCTAAAGTTAAACTACTATAACCTGCCGTTGAGTCGATTTCAACTCATAGAAACCTCTCCTTGGGTTTCCAAGGCATTATCACTACGGAAGTAGATTGCTCAGCCTTTCTTCCGAGGAGTGGCTGGTGGGTTTGAACCACCAGGCTTCTGGTTAGCAGTCAAATGCCTTAGGCACTACACCACTAGAGCTCCCTAAAATAATATAGTAGTGTGTATACTTTTAAGATTTTAGATACAGAGTTGCGAAATGGCTCTTTAGGAAAGTTTTTACTTACTTACCTTTTGACTGGTAGTGTAGCAGTGTTTTCATATTGTTGCCAAGATTAGCTGTTATTTTTAAACCTTGCATTGGTTATTTCCTTTTTTTATTATTAAATTTATTTTAATACTTCATTAGTGATTTTGAATTTTTTTGGCTATATATATTTCTTCTTTTGTGATATGCTTTTTGATGTTCTGCCTTTTTTTAATTCTTTGCTATTTTAAGATGAGAATGATTGTCTTAAGGATTCTGAAGCATTTTAACTTACGTCATATATAATATATTGTTATATATAATATTTTCACCCAGATTATTGCTTGCCTCTTAAATTTTGTTTTTAGTATGTTTTGCCATGTAAGATGTTTATATATTTATATACTCATTTATATTCTTTTCCTTTTCAGCTGTACTTACATATTTTGAAACACCTTTTTTGACGTAGTATCAGATTATTATTCTCTTCTATATTTTCTAATATGTTCTTTGTTTCTTATTTCAATACTTGTTTTTATAATACACTTGGAATGTTTGTGTGTGTATAATAGGAGATTGGCATGTGTTTTTTCCTTTCATTATTTATTTATTATGAAATGATTACTATATGCCAAGTTCTGTTAATTTTTTTCCTCAGAATGGCTTGTTGTTTTCTTTAACAATCTCAATTATAATCTTTCTCTTTTAGTCTGAAGTCCCATCTGAATTATTTATTTAATTTTTACCTGTACTTGGATTTTTTTTTTCCCCCTCTTTCATGGCCTTTGATCTGTTGATTAATCATGTGTCAGTATTGCCCTCCTTTAATTTTGGTGGTTTCTATAGTGGCTAAGACACTTGCCTGCTAACCAGACGGCTGGC